CCCTAAACCCCAAACCCTAAAACTCGCAGAGACGAGACGCAGCAGCACAGTCGGCTCCTTGGGCTCATGGCAGCTGCCCTTCGCCCTGCAGCCTTTGCCAGCTTGACACAGGAGATAAATAGGGGTTTAGGGTTTAGGGTCAGGGTTTAGGGTTTGGGGTTTAGGGTTTAGGGTTTAGGGTTTGGGGGTTGAGAGTTTGGGGTTTGGGGTTTAGGCTTTGGGGTTTAGGGGATAGGATTTAGGGGATAGGATCTAGGGTTTGGGTGAGGCGACCACCGGGGGTGCCCAGAAAGCCCACTTTTACACCCTCAACTAAGGGGAGACTTCCCTAAGTTACTGCGGGCTCTTCCCTAAATCCAAAAGCCCATGGTTGTTACGATGTACGGAACATTCATTTAGCCTTTGGGTCAGGATCACGGCGCAGGCTACATGGATGAGCGCTGGGGTTCAAGGATCAGGGCTTTGTGTCTGGGTGTAGGACTCGTCTGACTACCTTGGAGGTCCACTTCACGGCTAGTTGCACAGAAGCAATATTATGTACCCTTAATTGAGCTTTCACCCTATAAACTCAAACTCTAAACCCTGCCGTGACCGTAAGTATAATCTAAGTAGGCCCGTACACAAACCTCGAGATCAGCAAAGCCCCGGACCTCTGAAAGCGGCAAACCGGTTCACGCCCCGTCTCCACCGACACAAATCCACATAAAGATCATCACAGTTTCTTTGCCTAACCCCCTAAACGATCACAGCCTAGACCAGAAAGCGACCCTGGCCACTCTAAACCCTACAACTTTATGCAACCCCTTTAGAGCTCGCACACGATGATTTCGGTCTCGGAGTTTAGGGTTTTTTTAAGCTCAGAAGCACCGGGAGGGGGCTAAGCCCTAAACCCCAAACCCCAAACCCCAAACCCAAAACCCTAAACCCTAAACCCTAGACCCAAACCCTAAACCCTAGACCATAAACCCTAGACCCCAAACCCCAAGCCCCAGATCGAAGCCCGTCCAAGATCCGAAGCCCATGGCTCCCTTGTCAGGATGAGCAAGAGACGATCCGCCAGAAGCAGAAACAGGCCATTTTGGGTTGGTTGGTTGGTTGGGTTAGGGTTTAGGGTTTACGGTTTAGGTTTTACAGTTTAGGGTTTAAAGTTCACGTTTAGGGTTTAGGGCAGGGTTTATGACTGGTGCAGGAACCAGATGAAGCAGAAGCCTGAGATCCTGTCCTTGTCCTAAGAGTGGACCCGATGCATGCCCAACCCCTCCCCAGCACTACTCCGCCCCACCCAACCCTACTCAACCCTACTTGGCCCCACCGCGTGGTCAGTTTTAGCTAGATTTTAGTGGTGTTTAGTAGTATTATCTAGGACATCTTCAGGTGGGTAGTTACCTTTATAGGTCTATATACCTTATGGAAGCTTTATAGAAGCCCTATATATCCTAAACTCCCCACCTGTAGTTTCCTTTAACATTAGAGTAATTTAATTGGACCCCAATGCATGCCCAGCCCTTCCCCAGCGCTTCTCAGTCCCACCCAACCCCACCCAGCCCGACTCAACCCTACTTGGCCTCTATGTAAGATTTATGGGTTTAGGGTTTAGGGTATAATGTAGAAGCCTAAATAATTACTGATACTATTTTGGGGGGTTCCTTAGCATAAGTATAGTACCATAATATACCCCAGGACCATATTCTAATTATTAAGGCCCCTAAACACTAGGCCCCTAAACCCTAAACCCCTAAAGTAGCCCTTATAGAACCCTTTAAGGAACCCCTTCAAAGGA